TTTTAGTCCACGTGTGTGTGTAAGTCTATACATGTGTAAAAGCACTTCGACGACGATCTTATTTAGTATTTATTTCTCGACGGCTGGACAGCTCCACGTTCTTCCGACGTCAACACCGCTCTCCTCGTTCCGCGGCGTAAGTTGCTGTTCCGCACACGGCTCGCTCACGCTCCCCGCTCCTGCGCACCGCTGGCAGACGGCACGCAAGGAGACAGCCTCCGGCCCACCACGTGGCCGCTGGCGTTCCGGAGGCACGAGACGTGGTCCAGCTTCTAGACTCCACACACTGACCACGAGCCCCTTCCTGCTTCCCCTTATAACCCCTCACCTACGTCACCAAGCCCCGCCTATAGCCACGCCCCCTCATTAACCTTCTTGATGGTTACCCACAAGTACCCTTGAGCTCCGCCCTTGAACTTTGGCCCAATTGATCGCATTCATCTAATTGGCTAATGGCTGAAGCAGCGGAGCCTATCCCACCGATCGGCGACCGTCGGTGTACTCTCGTATTACATCACCCCCCCCCCGGTGTAAAAGACTAGCCATCCCAGCTAGGAACGAGGCAACGTGCAATGCGAGAGACACTGAGAATGAAGAATAATAAGATGCATAACAAACGCATTACGCAAGGTAAGTAAGAGTAACAACGAAAGGGAACATTTAGAGGGGGTACGCGACGCCGGCCCATCCCCCGCAGCAGCACGAGGCCCCGCCGGATTCAACCCAGGCTGCTGACAATCCCGGAGTGGGGTCAGCAGCCGGGGCGTTCAGGGCCTCTGAGTCTTTGGGAGGCAAAACAGGTCCCTTTTGGGGATCAACCGGCAACCGAGGTGGCACATCGGACGCATCCGACCCCGGCAGGGTAGTCAATGGGGATGAAGGATCAACGCGCGGAGCAAAGAAGGGTTTCAACCCGAGACGTGTGGACGTACCAACGGCGCGAACCCCGCCCGGATACGCACACATTGAGGATTGCGTATGTCTTTCAATTCGACAGGCCCTTGCCATGGCCTGTGCAGCTTGGGAGAAGTACCCACCGGCACCTGGGGACGGCTACATTACCAATGGCAACATGGACCTCCACCTGTCCGATGATGCTCATACTCCCCCCATTAGCAGCAATACACGCGTCGAAAGCCGGCCGCACACGAGAAGCAGGAATAGACAGGAGGTGGAAGATGACGTCGGAGATAATAGTCGCCGACGCGCCGGTGTCCGCTAATATCCGAACGTCCAGCCCCTGTATAGTACCCGGCACCGTGGAGGATCCCGCCGCAGCCGCCACAACACGGCGCGCCAATTTCCTCCATTGAGTGATCGTACGCGGCGAACCCTCAACGGCATCGTGTGAAATTTTGATTTAAAGCTTTCGTGACTGCAGGGATTTATATTCTTGTTTTTTTTCGGTAAAGTCACGTAGAAAGGAAACAATAAAAATATAAAACAATAAAATTCTCACGACGTTTCGACTGCAACACAAGCAAACATCATCAGGCATTTCCCTTCTACGTGGCATCGTGTGAGTCGCAAACTGGTGGAACATTACGCGCGTCGGAAGATGCATCAGGCGTCGATATATGCTGGGTGTCTGCCGGGTGTCTGACGCGTGCCGATTTGCCTGGCCGGGGTTACGGTCCGTCCATGGAGGCGACGCCAAAGATGGAGTCACGGAAGGCAGTGGAGTACGGGCACGACTCCTGACAGTCGCGCGTGAAGTGGCCCATCTGGCCACACTTGAAGCACGTCCCAGCCCGCCGGGCAGCCCCATCGCCGTTCCCGCGCGGCGTCGAGGCTCCGTCCCCGCGCGGCGTCGAGGCTCCGTCCCGACGCACCACCGGCCGCCATCGCGGCACCCAGACAGGCGCGGCAGCGGCCAGGTCTCCGACTCCCGCGTCGTCCGGAATGTGGACAATGCGAGATGGCGCTCATACCAATTGGCTCACCATCCTTGGCAGGGTCTCCCGTCCAGGTGGCCATCGGCGCCCAACGGCGCAAGTTGTCCTTGGCGTCGAGGCACCTGGCGGCCCACCGGGACGTGGAGTCGGGGTAGGCGGCCATTGCGAGCGCCACCAGAGCGCCGCAATAGGCAAGAGGAGACTCGTTGTGTCCGCGGCAACGATGCATGAACTTCCTCTGAGCGTCAGACGTTGGTTCATAAACTTCCGACACCTCGGCAAACGCATCTTTCAACATTTTCTTCTTTCCCGAGGGGATGGAGCGGAACACCGCTAACGATACATCGTCAAGTAGTGTAGGCAAGGCGTCCAACGCCTCCTCCTCCGTCCACCGCACTGAACGAAAAGCAGATTCGAACCGCTAAGTAAAAGCACTCCAGTCGCCTCCCGCGACTAATTCTTTAATGTTGGGAAGGCGATGGCTGCGCCTCGCGCCGTTATCCTTGGGCGATGCTGCCTCCGTCAGCCGCGCGCCACGCGGCTCCGCCAATATGGCGGGCTCAGACCGCGCACCCGTAATTTGCACGCTACTCATCTCTATCAGCTTCAGATTTCTCCCAGGCCCTTTGCGGTGTTGTAACAGCCCAATGTGACCTCGCCTACTCGTAATATTTAAAAGCAATTTGTTTTATTTTTTTATTGAAAGCTTTCATGACTGCAGGGATTCATATTCTTGGTTCTTTTGGTAAAGTCACCACGTAGAAGGAAAACAATAAAATAAAAAATATATAAAACAATAAAGTTCTCACGACATTTCGACTGTTATAATTCAGTAGGCTCACATGACATTGACTTCTCCAAGACAGAGGTTCTTTGCAAGCCATCTGGCTACTATGAGAGATTCATTCATGAGGCTATCCACATATACAAATACAGAGACAATTTCAACCGAGAAAATAGATTCTGGCTTAGCAATCATTGGAAGGATTTGATAAACCATTTCGGGTCTTGATTGATTGTTCACGCTTACGCTGGCTTTTAGATCGCATCCATTATTTTTTCGTCTCCCCCCTCCTCTTTTCCGAAAATAGATGGACTCGTCCATCTGAACAAACTGTCAAATCGCACTCCGTGGTGCTAACGTTAAAAATAACCGCCACTTTTTTCAAATTTTCTTGCTGTGGTTTTCACACCTTATGATTGCTTGTGTTGCAGTCGAAACGTCGTGAGAATATTGTTTTATATTTTATTGTTTCCCTTCTACGTTACTTTACCGAAAGAACCAAGAATATGAATCCCTGCAGTCACGAAAGCTTTAAATCAAAATTCAAGTGAAGGTTTATTGAGATTCTTAATGAGTGGCCATCTTTTAGTCTATTTGGGACCGGTTGAGAAGAAATGTATTGATTAGGTCCATGGAACCAGTGTAGTTAAGCAAGGTACAATACATGAGGATGACAGAGGATCTGTTCGGGAAGTGTGTTTTCAGGTAATTGTCAGTTCTCTCCCTTTGAAGGGTTCAAGTGTGGTGGTGATGTTGGAACGCACGCACACCAAACCCGGGTGAATTACAGCACTTACCGGTGCGGGGTGATTGTGTCATCCATGACCAGGGCCCTCCTGAGGGGAGGGGGCTGGGGGGTGCGTGTGATCCCACAGAAACCCGCCCCTCCGTGGCGAATTGTATAAAAGGCGGGACCCCGAGAGCAGAGAGTGCAGTTCGATCCAGTCAAGACGAATAACCAGCTGAAGACTGAAGTCCAGCTAGATAGACTCTGGGACTCCTCTGACCTGCTGCCCTTCTAAGGGCCGGGCAGAGCAAGCCAGTGGTACGACCCCAGAGCCGCGAAGGCTGATGTCCTTTTCAGGGCTGGATTCGTGTGGCTGGTGGTCGAGACCTGTGCCGAAGCTGGGCCAGGTCAATTAGTCTCCTTGAGAGGATAGTAGGATAGAGGGAAGTAGAGGAGTTAACTTGGGGTGTAAGCTTGGGAAATACTTCCCTCGGTAGAACGGATGAAGAGGCCGTTACCTCTTCTCTGTTGTCAACCAAGGCCACCACAAGATACAAATGCGGCCAGCAGCTCTGGTTATGACTGCGGCTGCAGTAACCTGAAAAAACATGCACAATCTGCTTCACAGTGGATGTTAAAATGCCTCCGATGTGATTCAAAATAAATAAGCCATTCCATGCGAATGTAATTAACATTTACCAAATTTGCACAAGTACCCAAAAGCTACCCACCTGAGATCAATCATCATCCCCTACTGGCAGACGAACATCTACTTAGACCGCTGCTGAGTCAACTCATGCGGCACAGGGACAGTTACATCATGGGAGTGGCTGTCGACTGTTTGGGATGAGATTTGATACAAGCCACTGAGTTGCTGAGGCAATTAAGCGCCATATAAATACAAATATTTTTAATAGTATCCCAAGGTGCATGCTATTGAGCTTCCGTGTCTCAGCCTCCTGGTTACAGGATCTACCCAACCAGGTTTGGTCATATATACTGGCTGCTCCTACTCTACATTATTAAAACATTCCACCCAAACCTACACATCGAAAATCGGCTGGGATTTGTCCCGGGTTCACTCACAGTCCAACCTCTCCAGCTTTCAGCTGCCTTTATTGACGACCTGGAGCTCAAACCCTGGAGTCTTCATGTCACCTTTCCTCCTGGCCATGTATCCAAGCAAGAATTTTCTAATGGTTCTTGCGCTACAAGCTATGTGCTTATTGTGGCACTTGGAATTTCAAACCTCGAATGTAGTGTTTCAGTTTCAAAACACTACAAAGGCCTTCAGACACTGTACTTGACAGGGTTTTTAACATGTCCCCTGGCGGTTATGAAGATTTGATGACCGTGCAAACGTCTTACCACACTGCACCTGATGGGCTCCTCTTCTGTGCGTGTTCTCTGTTGTCGGTCAAGATTTGATGACTGTGCAAATTCCAAGACTCAGTGCACAGTCGTCACGTCCCGTGTACGAGGGGAGTTTTGCTCTTGGTGAGGTCACAAACCAGATAGGGAGGTGCTGACATCACCCACGTGACTTTGAGGCGATATCTCCAGAGGCTTTTACATATTTAAGTAAACAGCGGGATATCGATGGACACGGTTATTTAAGTTTTATTTAAACAGATTAAAATCCAATAAAACCTAGGCTAGAATACAAATCTTAAATAAAAATCCAAGATACATTTCAAATGTGCTCTTAAAATTACCTCCTTGCTATGAAGCAGATCAGCAGACACGTGTCTTTCATTTATTGGTCTCTCCATGACACAGAGAAATGTTCGGTACAAGCCACCTGTGGACCAGTATTGGTGTACAATGTCTCAACAGCAGTCGGGCTTGGTTCAACCGATGGTTACGAACATCCAGATGTTAATCAGCAAAGAGCATTTCTAGTCCGAGTTCGACAAAATTTACAAAACGCGTTGCAATGGTGCATCCTTTTGGGACATGCTTTAGCGGGTTTCGGTCTACATCCGAAACCCGCTAGCATCACTGTTGTTTAAATTACAGTGGGGCCTCTATTTCACGCGACACCCCATATTACAATGCGGGTAACACAACCAAAACCACTGCCGGTATTTTCCAAATGTATAGTGTCTACTTATAATTTAATCTCTACACAAATCTTACATTGTTAAAGGGCAACAGGGCTACTACTTCTCTGGAGGAGTGCACGCATCACAAGCCACTATACCAACCCAAATGAACATAGCAATAAGACAACAACCAACACAGTCACACAACAATCCAACAACCGCGGCCTCACCGACTTACTCCACCACAAACGCTGGTGGGAGAAAACCGCTGAGCAAAACTCCCAAGGCACGCACGACGCACCACCTGGCTCTGGAACAGACCAAACAAAAACGCTCCAAACACCACCTCATCGGATCAGTCCCTGCCACCTGGAGCCAGATCACCAGGCTACCTTGAGCAGGATCAGGAGCGTAATGAAATTCCCCGCCCCTTCCTCTTGGTTCCCCATAGCGGGGCCTTTAATTGAATCACACCCTTGGGCCCTTCCCCCATTTGGTTGGCGCGGCATGCCCACGAGTCCAAACCCCCGTGCCCACGAGCCAATCCAATCCCACACACCTGCAACTACTTTTCCACAAAGCCCCCCCCCCCCCCAGTCCCTCGCTTCTCCCCAATTAAAGAAACACCCTGTCCCCCAAAGCTATCACTCTGACTGTCACACACGTATGATAACATTAGAATACGTGTTGTGGAGAATGTATATCCTATACGTAACTGATGAATTATGCGAATGTTCTTTATTTCAAAGACAATTACTTTTTCCAGAGGCAGATGCTTCCTCAATCACGAAAAATACCAGTTGACCCGTATCACAAGAACAACAGCTCTCACGTGAGTTATCTGTATAGGTTACTTCCAAAACACACACTTTCTCCTACAATCACGTGTTCCATATTTGACCTTAGACAAAATGTAACATGTACGCACAAAATCAGACAAGTATTCATTAATTTTGATTTCAAGCTTTCGTTACTGCAGGGATTCATATTCTTGGTTATTTCGGTAAAGTCACGTAGAAGGGAAACAATAAAATAATAAAAATATAAAACAATAAAATTATCACGACGTTTCGACTGCAACACAAGCAATTATCAAGTGTGAAAACCACAGCAAGAATTTTTTCTTACTGTGGAAACATTTCATAGTGTCCTGAGAATTTTATTGTTTTATATTTTGTATATTTTATTGTTTCCCTTCTACGTGACTTTACCAAAAGAACCAAGAATAAGAATCCATTAAATTATTATTCTAAATTATCGATAGGCATATTGACAAAATAAAATTACTGCACTGAAATGTATTTCATCGTGCTATATCGTATTTACAAGTTGATCTCTGTCGGATGAGGCCTACACCTACAGTACTCAGATTGAGGGAAGCCAAGTGATAGTGCATTCTCTTTTTGTTGCAGAGGTTCAAATCCGACAGGCATCCCTGATTAGTCCAGGAACATTAATTACAAATATGCACCGTACTTCTTAACATCTGATTCTATTGTCATTCAAAACGTGCATGCGATTGCATGCTGGCGTTGTGGTTAAAATTTGGCAAATTCGAAACGTTACCCACAAATGACAACTGAGATTACACATCAATCATCGCGCCCTACTAACAGACTCATGCAGGCTGGTGCAGGACCACCTTATGCCACACAGTGGCAGCTGAAAAAAATGAATTTTATTAAATTATGCTAATTTAATTAGGCTCGGCTTCGTTATCTAGGGGTTTATTACCAATCGCGATAATACAATGGAAAATGCGTAATTTTATGAAATTCTGTAAATGTATGCAATTATGCAAATTAGGCTCAGCTTCGTTGTCTTGGGTGTATTACCAACTGTGAAAATACAATGATTATGTTTTAGTGTAATTCTATCAGGTCTCAGAATTCAGATCTCCTAGTTAGATCTACCCAACCCACAGGTCCGCAAATACTGACCGCTCTTACTGTGCGGGTTGAACCTAGGAATGGAGTGTTCAACTTCACGTTATTTTCATTAAAGGCCTGTGACGAAGGTGAATCTATTGGAGCTTCATTGTCTCAAACTTACACATTTACAGGATCTCCTTTTGACTTTGTATTTTCTAAGAAGTCCACCCACACCTCCACTTCCACAAACCGCTGGGAGTTGCCTCGCTCTGCCTCACAGTCAGAATTCTCCTCCTGCTTCACGTTGCCTCCATCGATGTGAAGGTCCGATTTTGGAGTTGAATCTTCATCTTCACATTTCACCTTCACTTCTTCGCTCTTCACTGTCACCTCTTCAAATTTCACCTTTAAACATTTCATAGTGTCCAAATTGGAATTCACTTCTGGTTCTTTTTTCAGGAGGGATGGGCTCATTGCAGCACTTTGACTTTCACAAGTCGAATTCAGACTACACTCCTTGGGGATCTTCTGATGCCTGTGTGTTCTCTGGTGTCGATGCAGAACTGATGGCTGTGCAAATGCCTTCTCACAGACAGTGCACTTGAAGGGTTTCTCTCCTGTGTGTGTTCTCTGGTGGATCTGAAGACCTGATGACCATGCAAATGCCTTCTCACAGACAGTGCACTTGAAGGGTTTCTCCCCTGTGTGTGTTCTCTGGTGGATCTGAAGATCTGATGACCATGCAAATGCCTTCTTACAGACAGTGCACTTGAAGGGTTTCTCTCCCATGTGTGTTCTCTGGTGCCGTTTAAGAGGAGATGAACCTGAAAATACCTTCCCACACAAACTGCATTTGAAACGTTTCTCTCCCGTGTGTGTTCTCTGGTGGATCAAAAAACCTGTTGACCATGCAAATGCCTTCTCACAGACAGTGCACTTGAAGGGTTTCTCTCCTGTGTGTGTTCTCTGGTGGATCTGAAGATATGATGACCATGCAAATGCCTTCTCACACACAGTGCACTTGAAAGGTTTCTCTCCCGTGTGTGTTCTCTGGTGTCTTTTAAGGGCGAATGAATCTGAAAAGTCCTTCCCACACACACTACACCTGCAGGGTTTCTCTCCTGTGTGCGTTCTCTGGTGTTTTTTAAGATATGATGAATCTGCAAAGGGCTTCCCACACAGATTGCACCTGAAGGGTTTCTCTCCTGTGTGTGTTCTCCGGTGTTTTTTAAGTTGTGATGAAACTGCAAAGGGCTTCCTGCACAGAGTGCACCTGAAGGGTTTCTCTCCTGTGTGTGTTCTCTGGTGTTTTTTAAGATGTGATGAATCTGCAAAGGGCTTCCCGCACAGAGTACACCTGAAGGGTTTCTCTCCTGCGTGTCTTCTCTGGTGCATTTTAAAACAAAATGAACTTGAAAATGTCTTCTCACACAAACTGCACTTGAAATGTTTCTCTCCCATGTGTGTTCTATGGTGGATCTTAAGATCAGATGAACTTGAAAATGCCTTCCCACACACACTGCACTTGAAGGGTTTCTCTCCTGTGTGTATTCTCTGGTGTCTTTTAAGGGCAGATGAATCTGAAAATCCCTTCTCACACACAGTGCACTTGAAATGTTTCTCTCCTGTGTGTGTTCTATGGTGTTTTTTAAGATTTGATGACTCTGCAAATGCCTTATCACACACACTGCACTTGAAGGGTTTCTCTCCTGTGTGTGTTCTCTGGTGGATCTTAAGAACTGATGACTCTGCAAATGCCTTCTCACAGACAGTGCACTTGAAAGGTTTCTCTCCCGTGTGTGTTCTCTGGTGTCTTTTAAGGGCGAATGAATCTGAAAAGTCCTTCCCACACACACTACACCTGCAGGGTTTCTCTCCTGTGTGTGTTCTCTGGTGTTTTTTAAGAACAGATGAATTTGAAAATGCCTTCCCACACACACTACACCGGAAGTGTTTCTCTCCCGTGTGTATTCTCTGGTGGATGTTAAAAACTGATGACTCTGCGAATGCCTTCTCACACACAGTGCACATGAAGGGTTCAACTCCTGCATGTTTTCTCTGGTGCTTGTGCAGAATTGATGACCGTAAAAACGCCTTCCCGCACACAGTGCACTTGAAGGGTTTCTCTTCTGTGTGTGTTCTCTGGTGCCTCTGAAGATTTGATGACTCTGTAAATGCCTTCTCACACACAGTGCACTTGAAGGGTTTCTCTCCTGTGTGCGTTCTCTGGTGCCTCTGAAGATTTGATGACCGTGCAAATGTCTTCTCACACACAGTGCACTTGAATTGTTTCTCTCCTGTGTGTGTTCTATGGTGTTTTTTAAGATTTGATGACTCTGCAAATGCCTTCTCACAGACAGTGCACTTGAAAGGTTTCTCTCCCGTGTGTGTTCTCTGGTGTTTTTTAAAAACAGATGAATCTGAAAATGCCTTCTCACATACAGTGCACTTGAAGGGTTCATCTCCTGTATGTTCTCTCTGGTGCTTGTGCAGAATTGATGACCGTGAAAATGCCTTCCCGCACACAGTGCACTTGAAGGGTTTCTCTCCTGTGTGTGTTCTCTGGTGTATTTTAAGATATGATGAATCTAAAAATGCCTTCTCACACACAGTGCATTTGAAGGGTTTCTCTCCTGTGTGTGTTCTCTGGTGTATTATAAGATATGATGACTCTGTAAATGCCTTCTCACACACAGTGCACTTGAAGGGTTTATCTCCTGTGTGTGTTCTCTGGTGTTTTTTAAGATGTGATGAATCTAAAAATGTCTTCTCACACACAGTGCATTTGAAGGGTTTCTCTCCTGTTTGAGTTCTCTGGTGCCGTGTCACACTTCCAGTACAATCCATGCTGTTTGCATCCTGGTCCCATTGTCTTTTTGTACCGGGCTGTGCTGAGTGTCTTTGCTCCATCAGACCAATTTGCTGAGGAAGCGTCAGAAGACACGTCAGCTGCAGACAGAAAAAATATGCACACCATCTGTCAGTATCGAGGCACAGAGGAATAAATATATAGACATAGTCACACATGACTTACAAGTCTATATTTATTTATAAACTCAAGATAATACCCAATCCATCAGACGTGCTGTTAAGGAACACAATGAGAGGGCAAATGGTTATAAATATGCCTCGAGGCCCTAGTATCTTCATAATAAATATTAACCCAAAACACCAAGCACACAATTTCAGCTGTCTGGCTACAAAAGCAATATTTATGAAAGCAAAATTCAACTAACATAGCAAAGGCTGTTGAAAATAATACTTGTGTATTATGCAGAAATGCATAAATTAATATTAAATTGCAACTTAGAGGTGTGAAGCCAGGCTCAGATTTGCTTGAATGCTTGGATGAACAGATCTAACTTCAGCAGCATATATGCTGTGTTAATTTCCTGACAGTTTACATTCTTACAAAAAGTTCCAGAGGAAAACTAAAATAAGATATTGTTTTGATTTAACCTCCATGTTCAATAGTTAATATACTTTACTGCAAATACAAACTTGACACTGTCACACACTGGCATGGTACAAAGGTGGTGGTGTGTCCAGAACCATGCCTGGCCACCTTCATCTGCTCAGTATTCATGCTTCCTCACTTCACCATTTAATTAATTTAAGATCAATCAACATAGCAGAGACCCACAATAAGTCCAGCTTTCACTTATCAATCATGTTTGCTGTCGGCGATAATCAAACTAAATGTTGAGTTCATAATGCAGTGAAATAACTGCACCACAGCTCCCCACAACGATAAACTCTTAAATACACGTACATTTCACGTAGATCATTAACATATTATACAAACAAAACATCCACCATTCCTGACGAATTGCAAGTAACCTCATCCCAGTGCTAATGCCATGATCGGTGCAATTTAAGGCCATGTAAGTGTGGATTACTTGTCAGCAGGTAATGGGAATGATCCAGGTGTCAAGGCATGACTGACAGATGAACCAGCTGTGCTCCCCACTGTCTTGCTGGGTTTTAGGAACCCAGCGTTCCACCTATTCATGTGGGCATTGCTCTTCCGACCTCATCGTTGTTGCAGAGCAAATATCTCTTATCTGCCCTGCAGCATACCTCACAGGCCTCCTCCACAGAGGCTGATATTCACTCCTGGCACCAGTCATCTGCAGGTCTGATCACCTCCACATCCTCCAATCTCTTCTCTAGCCAATGCCATGCCTATTCAGCCCCTAATATCTGGACAAGAAAAAGCTGCTTGAGCATGCAGTGTCTGGGAATGCGGGATTCATGACCAAACCAATGCAGCCTCGCCTGCCAAAGAAACTCAAGATTATATTCTATATTGATATCTTAAGGATCTGTAAGCTTCTAATAGAATGTAGTCTGGTTGAATAGAGGATGAATCATAGGCAGGCCAGCCTTCACTGTATAAGCCAGCACAGATTGTCATTTAAATAAGTTCATATTCTGAATCCACAGAGTAATATCTGTGGCCAAGAAGAATCACAGCTTTATTCGTTAGTTTCTAAAAACGCTTGTCCTGGTGAGTGTCGCAGTGGCAGCATACTGAGAAGGGCGCTCCAGGCCTCCCTTTCCCTGGCGACAGACTCTAGCTCAACCTGGAGAATTCCCCAGCGTTCCCAGGCCAGCAGACCAACATAGTCCCGCCAGCGTGTCCTGGGCCAGCCCTGGGGTCATCGCCCAGTGGGACGTGTCTGGTAGAGTTCCAGGGAGAGTCTATTGGGGGGCTTCCTTACATATATTCTATATTGATATCACCCCTAGAGCCAGGCCCTGTGTAAATGTTGTGGCTTGGCTCTCCAACGCACAACCGGTGTCCTGTTCTCGTGACGAATTGGCCACGTTCTTTTTACATGACAACCCATACTAGTTGACTGTGTCGGGTGGTGGGTTTAACGACACCTTTACATATTTAGACAATCTAACCCAGGGGGGTCCCCAACCCCCGGGCCGCAGAACGGTACCGGTCCATGGCCTGTTAGGAACCGGGCAGCACAGCAGAAGGTGAGCGGCGAGTTCGCGCGTGGCCCGCCCATTACTGTATTTACCACTTCCGTCCGTGCCGCTTTTCCACACTGCACACTTGTCTCAGTCACAGTTTTGGTAAGCCCACAAGCTAACCCCTAGCCAAAATGAGTAAAAAACAAACGTTGCTGGAGAGCTTCTTTAAAAAGGCGGAAAGACCCAATGATGAACCCTCTTTGCGGATTGTACGGTCAAAATATCCGTTCATCCTGAGGGCTTGGTGTACATGCTCCAGCTCACTGGCTAGGCCTCCTCCCCCCTCTCTTACCTATATAACCTCTTGCCACGACAGCTCTCCTGCCGACTTCAGCATTTTCTTGCTGTGGTTGTCCCACCTGATGAAGATCGCTTGTGTTGCATTCGAAACGTCGTGATTTGTTTTATTTTCTTATTTCTACCTACGTTACTTTACCGGAAGAACCAAAAAGTATGGATTCCTGCAGTCACGAAAGCTTCAAATCAAGATGGAATTTGTGGCTGAGAAATTGGTTCAGTGCTGGCAGGCCATGTGGTCAGATGACGAACGTGTCATCTACGCATCTCTTCCACAAGGAAGGACATAGGGTGGATGTCTGGATGGCATCTGTCTCAAATTTCTCCATGAAAAACATTCGCTACCACTGACGATAAGGGAGAACCCATTGGGGTACCCTCATTTTGTTTGTAGAATGTACCATTCCAGGTGAAGTAAGTGTTGGTAAGGCAGTGCCAAGCCCTGACGATGAACAGATATTCTGACCATACAATCCGCAAAGCTGTCTCCCCAGCAATGGGGAGACAACCATCTGAGGATCCAACCAAAACCATCACTTTGCCATACATAGAAGGGGTTACCAAAATATTTCCAAAATCTTAAAAAAACACAAGATCTAGGTTCGTATCAACACAGTACACAAAATCCGTGATTTGATCCCATCTGTGAAGGATGTGATTCCTGACATGCAATACCCTGGTGTCTACAAATTGAGATGTGGCTGCGGCAGCAGTTACAGTGGGGAAACGAAATGACATGTTTTGGACCGTGTTCGTGAACACAAGGCAGATCTGAAACATGGTAGGACCAATACCTCTGCCGTTGCTGATCATTGTTTTAATGCTGCGGGCTCACACGAAATAGATTTTTCCAAGACGAAGGATGTACATACACAGACACAACTTCAATCGAGAAGATGGATACAAACTGAGCAATCATTGGAAGGACGTTATTAACCAAGTAAAGTCTTAAATGACTGTGATGTTTCCATCCTACCTGCCTATGTCAGCTGTTATATCCGACTCTCTGAGTACATCACCAGGTTAAATATCTGTGAGGCGGCCCAGCCACAGGAGGATCTCCGCCACCTCTGGTGGCTGGGACCGTCTCACATTGACATGCCAATCTCTCTTACATTGACATGCTAATCTCTCTCACATTGACATGCTCATCTCTCACGTTCACATACAAATTCCTTCTCGAGCTTCGCCCACTTACCCTTGGGTTGAGCCCACCAAAATCTTACATATAAAAGTCTCCGCCGCGTGCTTGCGAGGGATTTGGCTCTCGAATGGTGGGCTTGACGTCGAAAAAAATTGCCAGGCAGCACGCCCTAAGCCCCGCGGTGGGAATAGGCTATTCCGTTTTGCCATCCGTAATCTTTAATTAGCAAAATGAGCGATTAGTGGCATTCTTATTTTAATTATTTACTTATTGCAAGAGCTCGACCGTACCAACTGGTGACAATTGCGTGGGGGGGGGCGGACCCTGCCAAGTGATGCGCGTTCGGTCGAGCTCACGGGGGACATTTTCTTTTACGTGTTTAACGTGCAATTAATATACACAAAGCTGCGGCTGTTTCTTCAGTGTGATGTCCTCTTCGCCCCCCCCAACACGATGCGTGTAGTTACGCTATTAAGTCCGTCGATAATAATATTACAGCGCTTATATACCATTATTGTAGTATTGTTTATTATTATTAAACAAATACGCTGCCAGATATTACAATCATGTTTGTGTGCGCAAAACTCATTTTCATTATTACGTTGCTAAATATTCCCTTTTTTAGCTGTGCTTTTATGATGCTCTACTGCCAGTCTGTGATGTGGCCTGCTGCCTGTTGATTAATTAACGTCAGTGCATTGGCACTATATCATCTACACTGATAATTTTCCTTTTGACCATTATGAGTGTATGCCAGTCTATAATCTGTTGCCTGCTTCTTTACCTCACTCAGTGTACTGCCAGCCTTTCATGTCGACTGTATTCTGCTTTTTCAACTGCTGCCCGCATTGCCAGCTTTTTATGTCGACTGTAGCGATGCTTATGTCATTGAGTCGGCGTACTGGCAGTCTATAATCTAGACTGTAGCCTGCTTCTCAACTTACCTGTGCATACTCCTGCTCTTTAATTTACACTTATTTCTGCTTATTTCTTCAATGCATTTACATTTTTTCGATTGCTCACGTCACGCTATTTACTCATACGTAGTACTGCGATACTGATAGCTGTGCCATCATCGGGTATTGCTGTGCACGTCGATGTGTGTGCGCGAGTCGATGTGTGTGTGTTTGAGTCCATATGTGTGTGCGTGTAGTTCCGTGCGTGTGTTTAAGTCCATGTGTGTGTCTGTCTTTTTCGATTGGACAACGCCCAATGTGTGTGTACGTCGAAGTGTTTGTGTGTGTGTGTGTCAGTCCAAGTGTGCGTGTCAGTCCATTTGTGTGCATATCAGTCGCTGTGTGTGTGTTAGTCCATGTGTGTTTGTTAGTCGATGTGTGTGCATGCCTCCATCTGAGTGTGTAAGTCAACGTGCGTTTGTGTGTCAGTCTATATGTGTGTGT